TTTTTTCTATATTTATCAGAATATTATGATTTTATTTATAAGAATGTTATTTTTGTTTTATGTTTTTTTTACTGTTGTTTAAGATTATAATGTTTGTTGTAGGCGGCATTATGCGGTATCAAATGTACACATTAAGGTTGTTAAAAGAATATACTATATAAACTTCTTATGAATTCCTATATATTACAAACATTTGTACAAAAATTATTATTATACATGTATGAATGTGAATGTTTATATACGAGTATGTTTTGCGTACATGTAATTTTTAAAGGATATTTTTTCTACATTAAGCACACTATTACATAAAGACATACAAATGTGCAGAACAAAAAAAATAAAGAAATGTATTTTGTGAAAATTTACAATCAAATAAGCAACCATTTAAAAAATAAATAACCTCACTCTTTTAATATTGCATATATCTATATACATACATATATGTATATGCATTTATATATACAATATAAAGATTCTAAATGAGAAGAAAAGTCGACTTCTTCAATAAGATAATGATCATTTATCTTCCCACGATTTTTTAATGTAAATTTTCATTTTCTAAAACGAACGAGTAATTTTAAAAAGTAATAAGAATTTTTAGCTTAGCAAATAATAAAAATAAAAAACACGAAGGGACAAACAGAATTGCACACGAAAATTTTTTAAAAATTTGTAAAAATCTTAAATTTATATACAAGAAAATAGTTTATATTTGTTTGTAAGTACCTTTATAAAAGGCATAAGTACACCAAGTTTGTTACAACAAGCCAAAACAAAAATATAGAAAACGCAAACAAATCAACATGATGATAATAAATGATGATATATTTCCGCATTTTGCGTTATTATTTTCTATCATATTTTTAGTAATATTGAAGTTACAAGTACTTGTATAGTTGAGAATTTTATATTTAATTGAAAAAAAAAATAAAATAAAATAACGAAAAAAAGAGCATTATTAGAAAAAAAAAAAAAGAAAAATTAATTCGAAAAATGTTCCCCCTTTTTCTTCAAAAAAAATTAATTTTCAACGAAAAAGAAGAAAAAATTAAAAATTTGAGTGCTTTGAACTTTTGAACAAATATAGGAAGTCAAACCACAACTTTAAATTGGATAAAATTATATTTAATGTAATTTTTCAGAACATCTGTTACTATAGAGCATAGTGCAGCATAATTCAAGCTTGTGACTACATGATTCTTAAATCAGGAAGATTGGCACTTCAGCAGAAAGATTCACAATAAACATCTTCCAAAAATTCAGAATTGACGTTTTCTCATTTTATAGCACATGGTTTCTAGAAAAGTGCCTTCCTTTCTTTGTATTTTACAATTGTATTTTACAACACGCTTATGTTACGTTCTTTTATGATTACTTTCATTTTTACTGCTCATTTCTAGATGTTCTTGCACCTTCAGTTTTCCCTATTTTTTCAAATCAATCACATTTATTTTTACTCATTTTGATCACTATTTAGCTTTTTGAATAGTTCCACTTTGTTTTAAACACCTATTTAAAGTCACCCACTATAAAACTCTTTTAATATTCTTCTTATTTTCAAATTGAGCTAAAAATTAAAATTAAAAGAAATTACAAATGTAAAATGTTAAGAAAAAATAAGAAAAAAAAATGTACATAAAATAATTTCTTAAACGCATTAATCAAAAGATACGAATTTGAAAGAAAAAAAAATCATTTTTAATATTAATTAACCAGTTCATTCCGGATGACTCCGGAAAGAATTCAATAATTCTATATTTGAACTTTCTCACGGTAGATTAATACCTTTAAGTTTTTACCACCTTACAGATTTTTAATGTCGTATTAAGTAAGTAAAGGAACATAGAATCTGTTCATTTCATTTACTTCCGCTTTACTATGTTGTGAATTTTTATCATAAATATTAAACACATTATTACACAATATAATGAAAGAGCTAAAAATTTTTAAATTCTTTAATAGTAATACGCAATCTTAGATTTATTTAAATATGAAAGTTTTTCCCGGTTCACAATATTTTAAATACGGATATCCTCTTTATAAAACAGATGCAATATTGCGCATTTTGCTAACCAACAGCAATCATATTATGTGTATAGGCGTTTTAAATAATTATGTATTTACAAACTAAAGAAAACTTTATGATTGGTCTTACCGTTTAAAATGAAAAATTTCTTACTCGTATGCCTATCTACTGTATAGGTAAAGGCTGTTAAGTTCAAATTAATTATTTTTGTTATTTTTTCCCAACATATTTTCTTATAAATATTGCATTTGGCTTTTCGCTACAAGAGATTTTCGTCAACTAAACATGAATAATGTGTGAAATCAATCTAAACATGATTTCAAGAATTGTGAAAAATATGATTTTATAATTCCTACATTAACCAATTTAATACTAACATTAATTTTTTAATTCAATATATATGTACTGGCTTTTTCTTACTAAAATAAACATTGTATCTCTTTATTTTTAAATAATTTGAAGCATTTTTACTATGTACTTTCAATTATTCTTCAAATAACAAAATGCAACGAAAACAAAATTTAAAAAAAAAAATACGAATATGTAAAAAAATTCTTTTTTTCCACCTCTTCTCAGAAGGAGAAAAATATTTTGAATAATTTTGCAACCCTTTAAACTTCATTATAAATTTCCTTTAATTCAACTTATTTCATATCGATTTGAAATTTTAATGAAATTCTTCAACAAAATTCCTTCATTTCAACAAATTCAGTTCAGTTCAGTTGTTTATCAAAACATATACATACATATATGTAATTCAAACATGAATTTCTTCCCGTATATATAATGTTTTTAGTTTGGAGCTTCTTTAGACCTATTCTATATTGTCTATTATATCAAAAACTTTATATTCTTTCTTTCCTTTTTATTCCAGAATGTAAAAAACCGAATATATAAAATTGAATCTTGATTAGTTTGCCCCATTACAAAATATATATATAAATATATATATATATATATATAATATATATATATATATATATATATATATATATTTATATATATTTATATATATATATATATATATGTATATATATATATATATTTGCGTGTAAATATAGATATACGACACATAGATAGAACAGGATATATCAAGTTGGTATGCATAAGTCTTGCTTATTTTGAAAAGTACAATTCAAATAGCTACATTTAAAAATCTACTTAATATAAAGGAACATGACGCCTATACGTACATATGTACTGCATATTATGGATCTTATTGTTAAATAACATACCCATTACATAGTAAAAATGTAACAAATATCCTCGCTGTTAATAAAATACTTTTTTTTTTATAAAAATATGCGAATTCTTTGTCTACTTATATAATATTATTATTTAAAAATTATAGCACCATTGCTCATTCCAAAAATTCTGTTGCAAAAATTCATCTCATCCTTTTCACTTCCATCCACTATAAATTCTCTCGGTTCAGTTGTTGTTCTCTCTACTCTCATTTTTTTTATTTCGTTTTTCCTTTTTTATTTAATAATTTTTCTTTAAACTTTGTTCGTAATTAAATTAGTACTTTTATTTCTTCTTTCAACTTCTTCACCGTCATAACAGTTGCTTGCAAAATACAAATTCTTTTTTCTTTCACATCACATTGAATTTAAAATTCGAGCTTTGTTTGTCTTGTTTCTACTTAAATAATTATCTTTATTGTTATCAATAATATTATCAGTGTTATTATCATTGACAGCGTCATTATTATCACTTTTTAATTTAAAATTCGACCATCTTAATCAACAGTAGCGTTTTTATCACTATATTATAATGATTATCAATTTGATTATATGTATTAAAAATAAATTATAAAAATATTTTTACAAACAAAATTAAAACTTAAATTATAAATATTTCCAAACAACAATTAAATATTAAGAAATTAAAAAGTAAAAAACATATTAAAGTAATAAAAAATAAATATAAAAAGAAAACTCATACTTAAAAATATTTTTATTAAAGAACTAGACATAAGTTAGGACAAAGTTACTAAGATATTACAATTAAATGCATTGCGGAAAGTGTTATCGTGTGCTACTGCATTTAAAACTTCTAAAAAAATTTATTTACATTTTTAGAGTTTTGTCTAAGAAACATTGAATTGATGTGAATAGAATAAAATATAAGTTAAATCTAACGTCCAATGTGGTTTTTGTCGATTGCCATAAAATAGAACAGAAGAAATTATTTTAATTTTTAACATTGAGTAATTGGTGAAATTTTTCGGAGTAATTGGTAGTAGATTACAAAGTGAAACTATTATTTTGTATGAATCTCTTTCCTAAAATAAAAAAAAAAATATATTAATTGTATTTAGGACTTTATATCTTCTTACCCTTATTAGGTTTACCTTTATGTCTTTTTCAAAAGACCTAAATATAAACCTAAAACTTTTGTTAATTCTAGATTTATTTTAAATTTATTATATAAAATCATATATATTTGATCAATTCTACTAGGATACCAAAAACATTTTTACTTTATTCTTTTTAAATTAAGAATTTTTTTAATTTTTAGGCCATCAATGTTTAGAACGTTTTTTCTTCTATTTTTTTTTTCAAATTTTGTTTATTGTATAACCGATGATACTCTGCTTATATTTTTAGTAGTTTACGTTTTCACTGTATTCTTATTATTGGTTTCCCTTTAACTCAGAGTTCTTTTTCTCAATATTTTCCATGGGTCTCTAACATTAGAGTTGTCGTTCTGAAATTAATTCTTAATTCTTTTCTTCGTCTTTCTTTTTACAATTTTTTTTTTTGGTGTTTTGTTTTTTATTCATATTTTAAAGGTGGTGGGGGAATTTCCTTTTAAGCTAAACTCAAGAATTCTTCTTAAGCATTTTTGTTCGTGAACTTGACTTTTAAGCATTTCGAAAAGAAAAAAAATATTCTTGCAATTTAAAAAAAAAATTAAGACATAACAGAACAATATAAATAAAATTAAAAAAATAAGAACAAGAAAATAAAAAAGAGAATAAGAATCAAAAATAAGAAAATCAAATAAAAATAAAAAGTTTTTCTTTTTAAATTTTCATTTTAAGTTCTCAGTTGTAAGGAATCTTTTGTGATAAACAGAACCTTTTCACGAATCAACAAAAAAAAAGAAACAAAAAAAAATTGAAATATAAAATATTCATATAATATAAAAAATTGAAATTTTAAAACTTTTAAAAACATTATTCTTAGTTCAGTTTCAGTAACAGCTAAGAGAAGACGATTAAAGTGATTAGATTCGAACTATTTTGTACCACATAAAAAAGTTGAAAATAAAAAGAAGCTGATTTTAGTTTTTCGTTAAGAAAATAAAATAAAAGAAGAAATTTTATATTTTATATTTTTGAAAATCGAATACAAAAGTGAACGAGAACCCAGTGAAGTGAAATTGTTTCTAAAAAGTGAAGTGAATTAAAGAAAAAAAAAAAAATTTTTTTTCTTTATTTTTAAATTCGAGTTTTGCTTTTGTTTAAAATTATTTTGTATTTGTTAGAAAAAATTATAAAATAAATATAAAATGGCAAAAATCGTACTATTTTGCTTATTGAGCATTGTGGCGTGCATATCAGGTTTGTAACATTTAATTAATTTTATATATGCAAATATTTTTTATTAAATAATTTGAAATTTAGTTTAACTTTAATAAAGAAAGACTTAAAATCGTATTTATTAATTTACAAACTGATAACCTAAAGCATAGGATTTTCGAATTTTTTTTTCAAAATCAAATGTCTTGCTATTCTTACGGCCTGATCTACTATCTCGCTATTTTACTCGGAAGTGAGTAACTATCTTATATTTGTATAATGTAATTTTCGAATGACAAGAATTATTCGATATTGCGTATCTCCTTTTTTCTATAATGCATACAAAATTTATTCACATTTTTTTTTAAAGTGAGACGTTTAGTGATAATTTGAGAAAAAATACAAAAATCAGTCAGTACAATTTTAAAAAACAGAACTTATTTCTTGCAATATCCAATTTTTTTTTGAATTAATGATTTATAAGTAAGCATTATCAAATATAAATCCCACCTTACAAAGAACTATAAAAATTTTTACATATATGTGAGTTAATTTATACAAAGAAACGTAGATGATAGCTAGAGGTGATGCTTACTTGAACAAAAGATATAAGCGAAAAACTTTAAAATAAAAAATATTCAATTTAAAATAATAAAGATTATTCTGAACTTATACTATATTCAAAACTTATTTGAGATTCTTTCAAAAAAAATTAAATTTAAAGTATATATTTCAAAAATCTTACAAATAATTTGGCTTCGACACCTTATTATGTAAATAGAGTAGGTTGGAATTATTAAAGTGACAAAGCAGAATTTATAAAAACTATGCTATTCAATATTCTTTTTAATAAATAAATTTTGAAATTGTTTAAAATTACAAAAAAATATTTAATATAGAATTAAAACTACATATATTTTTTAAAAATTTAAATTTTTTAAAAATCTAAATGAATTGTTGAATTTTAAAGAATTAAAATCATTTCTTAATTTTTTTTTTAAATATCCTACTTCTGACCAAATTCACTTTATGAGTAATAAATGCTAAATTGTGTGGCAATAAAATCTTGTTGGAATTTTCAAGTCGCGGATAATTTAAAATTTTTTTTTTTAATTTTACAAATATGTAATATTCATTCGTCGTTTTAGTTTAACTCACTAAAGTAATAATAAAATTTCACTGATGAAATTTTTGCACTTTGTAATTTATTCTTTCTTTTAAAATATAAAAATTTTTATTGACATCAAGAAAAGTATAAAAAATTCTTAATAATTATCCTAGACATTTAAAAGATGAAAAAAAAACCCATTAAGATGAGTAGATAAGATTGAAGAAAAAATGAAAATTTACAACTTTACTTATTAAAGAACGCTTTGCTTTTGAAAGGGGAAAAAAAGGAACTTATTACAAAAGAAATATTTTATAAACAAACAAAGATGAGAAAAATCACAACATAAATATTTATATAATTATGCAAATATTTAATATATATTTTGTATATATTAATGTTTCTTTGTAAACGAATTAAATGATCAATTTATATTCAATGTTATTTTAAAAATATGCATAAAAACAAAGAGTATTGAGAAGAGATTTGATTTTGTTCTTAAAGCATTTTATAAATAATGCGAAACTTTTTTTTTCATTATTTTAATTGCATGCCAATTGCTTGCTTTAAGAATTTGCTTTTTGTACTTTTACATTTTGTATTTTTTACCTTCTCTTTATTTAACCATCACAATACAATATTATCACTTTTTTTCATTAAATCACCTTTTTCTGCTATTTAAGTTGATTGACCGTAGACGTGAAATTTATTGTTTACCATAATTATTGTGATGTCCCAAGTATAACATTTACAATAAAATAACAAGGAAGTTTTAAAATAAAAAAAAAAAAATAACGATTATGATGGGAACTATAGAAAATCTAGTGTTAATAATTAAATTGCATATATATATATATATATATATATATATATATATATATATATATATATATATTCTTATAAAATTAAATTTTAAACAAAAAATTATTTTACATTAACCCTTAAGTATTGTATATTTAAATTCTTTACAATACATGTGCGAGTATTATATGCTTATCATTATAAATTCAGTGCGGGTTTTAAATGATATGCGCTCGTTATTATATGTATATTTACGTTAAATATATATTAATATACATACAAATACACAATGTATTTCTTTATAAGCTCTTTTAATATACTTCACATATTATATTATTCTTTCTTTATTATTTTCTCACCTGATGTGAATGTTCAAAATAATAAATACATAGTTATAATTTATTAAGGTTAAAAAGAATACAAAAAAAGGAACCACAGCTAAGATTATTTTTACTGTTTTTGTAATATTATTACACCATTAGTTTTCTAAATTTTATATTTGGGTACAAATAATGTGTGTTTTTTTTTTCAATTCCACTTCTAAAAGAAGACCTAACTTGTAAAATTTCAAATTTAAAAAAAGAATACTAAGTATGTAAAACAAGAAAAGATATTTTCACTAATAACAACTGTATAGAAAATGAACCGTAATTAAAACATTATATTTTTATATTTAAGATGCATCTAAAATTAATTTAACAAAACTCTTTTATTACCTCAATAATAATTCATTCTTATCAGCTGTTTTAACTACCGGTATTTTTGACTCCTGTATGCATGAATTTTAATATGTATGGGTAAAGGTTCAGAAAACTGAAAAATTAAACAAAGTATAAAACACCTGACTGCCTAAGATATATTCAAAAGAAATGTATAAGCATGTGCACAGATGGATGTATGTACATACATACATGTCTAAAAATATGTTAGAATTAAGAAATTTAAAAAATCGTTAATATTTATCATATATGAAAATTAAGAAATTATTGATATAAGGATTCCGGTTAATAAAATGTAAAACTAAAAAAAAAAATAGTAAGTGTATTGTATTTAAATGTAAATATATAATACAGAATTTAATTACATACCATATGGATGAATATATGCACCAAGTCAGGACTGGTTTTCAAATATTGTAGAAACTGGAACAGTATATATGTATTTACCACAAAATAAAACAGCCATATTATGCATGACAAAATAATTCCAAACCTAAAATGCAAAAACAGATTAATCTTGAAATTGTCGAGTTTTACCAGGTGAAATTACCTCTTAACATGTCGAAGGACCATTTTCGAAGATTTCCACAGATATTTTTAAGTAAAAGCTCGCAGGATTAAATTCGAAAATATTTTTAAAAAACTTTTATAGAGCACATCATAATCCTTCTCCGGTTTTTCATGTTAGAGAATATGTAATAATTGGTAACTTATTAAACCCAATTATTTACCGTTTGAACTGTTTAAATAAGGAAGAGAACTTTAGGATTTTTCTAATCCCTACTTTTCAGAGAATTTTTTTCTAATTACAATTATATTCAGCACAAATTTTTCCTTGCCTGCGCTCACCAATTAAATCTTGAAATTAATTATTTTTTATGCCATATACATAATATGTATAAACGATTTTGTGCAATTTTATCGGTTTTCGTTACCTTCTAGCTGGCTCTCGTCACTACCACCTTAATTTTTGTCATAATTACTGCTTTAATGATTCTCACCGCCAATTATCTTAAAAAAATTTTTGATTTAAGTTATTTGTTAGACCGTACTGCACCGTATCGGCTAAATTAAAATCCATATATGCATGTAAATACATATATAACTATCATATCACTGTACTTAATATATAACAAACTGGTTTAAATACTAATATCATTTTCTGTTGATTACAATAGAACAAAAAAAATTCTTTTATATCTCTGAAAAGAATCTACTCGTTCAAACAAGCAGCTACTTTTTTAACTGTAAAAACAAAAGAAAATTTTTATTATTAATATGATTATATACATAAATAAAAGATTTTTAAAGCCACATTGAAATACATATGTACAGGAATGTTAAGATGAATAAGTTAAAATTAGTAGTTTCTAGTAAATGAGGTATAAAATCTTGAAACAAATTTTGAATTGCTTAAATTCTTAAATATAAACCTGGCGAGCATTTGTTCTAGAGATATTTTTTTAATTTTCGAGATTTGAATAAATTTCACTAACCATCTAAACACAAAATTGAAATGAAGTCGGCTACGTATTCACCGGGAAAAAAAATTAGTATATCTACAACATTGCAGGTTTTATTCTTATTGAATTCTAAACTCTTTTTCTCAACTATTCGTAAAGAGAACTAAAGTACTTAATTTAAAAGTTACACTAATTTAAATTTTTGTATTTATTGCGAGTATATAACATAGCAAGAGAATGTCTTTATACCAAATTGTTCATATAAGTTTAAATATGTAACACAACAATGTATGACTACACAATTTCAATTGTGTTCTTAAAAAAATTAAGTTCATTAACATTTTCATTCACACAAAACTCTTATTTTATATGAAATGGTTTTTTTTATCGAATTTAAAATTATAAAATAAGAACCGAAAAATTGAAATCTAATATGAGGTAATTCAGATAAAAATTATGTATGATGGTAGAATGCTGCTAAATTTTTCTCAAATTAGTTTTTTTCATCCCAAAAATTTAATTGCAATGAAAATAACCACCTGCCTGCCACCTTCATTTATCTTTTTAAAAAAAAGTATTTTTTGATTAAAATCATTTGTATGCTAATTTTTACAGCATATAAGAATTTTTTACTTTCCTGAGAAATGTAATGAACTACAGTTTCAAGAATTTAATTTGAAATTTATATTTGTTTTTTACTTTGTTATCGAAGCACTCGGCATAATAGCACTTAATTTACATAAAAATTTAATTTAAATTATATAAAAGCAAATAAATATTTTTTGAAATTAATGACTCTGTGGATATCATATCAAATTGAATCAAGTTCGTTTTAAATTGAAATTTATGGTTTAAAGTTTTCTTCTTTAACTCAAAAAGTAAATTACTGCATTTTTCTTCTTTCCTTATAAAAATAAATTTCTTTGTTCACATATACATACATATTTTTAG